TCAACTTTGCGTTCAACTCAACGCAGGGTTGCACGAAAAAAAAGTTTAATAGCTAAATGTTGGCTGGCTAAATGTTGAAAGGCCGTTCAACCAAAAGTTGAAAAGTTGGCGAATATTTTAAAATTTTTAGCCATTCACCTTTTTTTCCGTGCAGCCCTGCGCTGAGTTCAATGCAAATGTTGAACGCAAACTTGAGCAATGCAAACACTGCTTTACACACGCACGCACACACATTTATTTTTTTTTGTGTAGGTACATAGGCAATCTTGATATAACATAACAAATGTAGTTATATATGCATCTGTATACATATTTTCTGGCCTGCTAACGATGTGGTTAGTATTTATTGTTTTGTGTTTATAAGCAGTATTTTAGTTTTGGGAAAAACGTCTATTATACATGTATGTTGCATGTATGCATACAGGCAAATTTGAAACGTATATTTAAAATTTGGCAAGAAATGCATATTACTATCTGTTATTTCTGTTTTTTTGTAATGTTTCGTTGTTCTTCAGCTAAGGCGATGATACAAAATGTCCACATATTGAGATTTCACAACTTGGATGTAGGTTTGACGTTGAATATGAAAGGCAGAATGGCCAAAACATCGGTCAGTCAAAACTGGTGAAACTTTCTACACTTTTAACTTGTGCTTGCAAACTACAGGGCAAAAAATTTTCATGGAAAAATTAGCCGAAAAAACAACAAAAAAATAAAACACTGCACATTTACCTAAAAGGGGCTAAGCCATATTAAATTACATTCAAGAATTTGTTTACAAGTGTAACATAGGGTGAGGTACAAACATATGTATGTATGTATGTTTAAAATTAAATGATTTGCTTACTCGTGTTTTTTTCTCCGTGCATAGATCGAAGGCCTAGAAGCTTGTTAATCATAGATCCATTTCTAATATAATGAACAGTTAGCGCCAAATATGTTTTCCTTAAATAGTTATCTGTCCAAAGATCCGTTGTCAGACCACATCCATAACATTTGGCAAGTTCTAAATCGGTCTTAGCTTTATGAAAATACGTCTGGTACACATTGTCAATATTCCTTGCCTTCGTAGTCGGATGCGGTAGCGCGCTCTGCATGTTTACATTTTGTCCATATGTTGCACCAATGCCAATAAAATACTCGACAAGTTTTTTAAGGCCAAAGTCATCTACTATTTGGTACGGTCTGCAGTTCTTAATAACCCATTCCGTTACAATCTCTAACACTTATTTTTTATGATCTGCACTTAGGTCCACTTTTGCCATGTTTTCGCTGGCGTTTTTTGCAGAATATTTAGCAAAGCATTTGTGTTTTAGCAAGTTTGAAGTAGATTTTTTGGTGTGTTTATATATATTAAAGCAGCTTTTACACGCCACAATATTTGGAATGTTCTCATTTGAGTCATTTATAATAAATCCAAATACTTCCCAAACTTTACTTTTTCCAATAACTTTTGAAATTTTGAATTCGCCACTAATAATTTTATTTCGTATAGTAGCATTGCTTAAGTTGCTGTTTATGACAACTGATTCGTTGGTTAATGACTGCAAATAGTTTTACACCAAATTAGAAGCCCGAAATAATACATTAACGGCCTTATTTATAAAAATTTAAATACATATGTACATAGATTTAAAAAGCTGTTTAAATACAAAAATTATATAAAAATGTCACTTTAAACAACTGTTTAAACCTTTGTTATTTTCTATAAATAAGACCGTAAACATTTCCTTACATCGTCAATTTCCATATTGTAACTTTGTTCTTTCAATTTCGGTGACCAGAGCAGCAAACGATATCAACTAGTACGCTAACAAGCAGAAATGAAATTTAATACGCAAGTACTTACAGTACTCCAAATATACAGAGAGTAGATTTGCTACTCCCTTTAGGCAGCAGCAAACATCTCTCGTACGCGATGAGAGAAAATAGAGTACATACTTTGGTGGAGTAATAGCAAGTACGTCAAGTATTTACTCTCTCAACGCCAAGTAGTGTATGTATGGGGAAAAAAAGTAACAATGTGTTGGGAGTAGAGTACAATGCAAGGAGTACTTATTGAATGAAATGCGGCAAATACAATTGCGCTGGACTCTAATGTATACACATTGGCAAACACAAAAGCGCACCTGCGCGCGTATTTTAATATCAAGTGTATGTGTATGAAAGAATTATGAATACATAGGTACTTCGACACATACTTTTAATCTTTTCATCTCAATTGCAATCAATCAAAACCGCGGAAATGTTACTTAACTATAAATTCCTGTTGGCACAGTCGAGTCAAACGCTGCCAAATGGAGGAGTGTGAACTCAAACACAAAACTTACCTCAAATATGTATACTTCGTTACTTACCACACGACACATGCCACTTGTCGCTTTCCACTTACCGCATTTAGAACGTCATGCTTGCCGCTTCATGTAAGCTATTACATAGTTTGCTCATCACTCAAATCAAAGTCTATGCAAGTATTTGTATTCGTAGGTACATATATATACATACGCTTCTGTGGATATGTGTGCGCATGTGCGCTAGCTTGTACTGCTTGACGGCGGGCATGATTTTCGAATTCAAGTACAATTTCCCTGTAATACGAAACGTTGTCATTTGTCGCAATTGTCGGTCAACGGCAAAGACTTGTACGTCTAACATTTACAACTGCGCCACATATACATACATATATACACACATGCATGTACATATTTACATCCGAAAGCTCTTATTCAATCGCAAACCCTACTACTACCTTGCAGTGAATGCAGCAAGTTCTGAACTATTCGAATAGCAGCTTGCCTTGCAGGTCAACTTATTCATTTTCCGCCGTCTTTTCCATGTAAACAACAAATGTTTTCAATATAGCGATGTCTTACAAAATGTAAAATGTATCTATAACTGCCATCCCTAAATTGGCGCGTCAAGCGCCAAACAACTGTCAAAAATCCTCATGCCCATACAATTTGTATGAAGCATCCCACAATAACGCGGCGCTAACGCCGAGCAAATGGAATTTTCATTTTTGACAGGGCGTTACGTGTTGAAGTTGGATGCGGAAGACGGAAAGAAAGAGAAAGGACAAAAAAGTGAAAGAGGAAACGAGAATAAAAACGAGAGGATCTGAGAAAATGTCAAAAATTACGACGCGTTGATTTGGGGATAGCGCGCGCTGACACTCGTCGACAATGGATAACGCAACGCTTAGCGCTCCAATTTAGGGACGGCAGTAAGTTAGCATACCAGTCAGTCACCATCTGGCGCGTTGGTCGGACTATGTGTCACTAAGGTATGCTGCATATTAGATCGGTACGATATGCGATACGATAAGCGACATCAACATGCGCGCAGTGCACATTAAAGCGATACAACACGCGATACCATATGCGGTTTGATAAGCGAACCGTGTCGCTCGATCGATACGCAATCGATATTATGTCGCCGCTGTGCCGCTGTCGTGAAATTGTGAACAGTTTTCTTCGCCTTCTACCAATTTCCACGTACTCAGCATGTCGAATTTGCTTTCGTATCGCATCGCTTACCGTATCGCAGCTGTTTGAAGCAGTCGTACTCAAAGCGAAATAGCTAGACTTCGCATCAGCTTACACCAGTTAATCTACGACAATTTTCATTGGGTAATTTAGATTTTACTGCGGGGTAATGCCACTGGATTTCACAACCGCTGCGCTGTCGTTTTTTTACTTTTTTCACTTCACCTCCGCCACTTACCGCTCCGTTTGGTCGACGGACAAAACTCATTGCCAGCTTTCGTGAATATTTACGTAGATACATACACATCCATGTCCGTATGCCTGTGCATATGTAAGTGTTGGTGTCGCTTTGTTGATGTCCAAGTGCTGCTGCTCACCATTTAAAACCGGGAAGTAGCATATCTGATATCGTGCCACTTAACCGGCAACTGCCACCACTAGCCAAGCAACNATATTATGTCGCCGCTGTGCCGCTGTCGTGAAATTGTGAACAGTTTTCTTCGCCTTCTACCAATTTCCACGTACTCAGCATGTCGAATTTGCTTTCGTATCGCATCGCTTACCGTATCGCAGCTGTTTGAAGCAGTCGTACTCAAAGCGAAATAGCTAGACTTCGCATCAGCTTACACCAGTTAATCTACGACAATTTTCATTGGGTAATTTAGATTTTACTGCGGGGTAATGCCACTGGATTTCACAACCGCTGCGCTGTTGTCTTTTTACTTTTTTCACTTCACCTCCGCCACTTACCGCTCCGTTTGGTCGAGGGACAAAACTCATTGCCAGCTTTCGTGAATATTTACGTAGATACATACACATCCATGTCCGTATGCATGTGCATATGTAAGTGTTGGTGTCGCTTTGTTGATGTCCAAGTGCTGCTGCTCACCATTTCAAACCGGGAAGTAGCATATCTGATATCGTGCCACTTAACCGGCAACTGCCACCACTAGCCAAGCAATACCACTGGCAATTGCATTCATTTTGCCCATAAGTGTACAATAAAAGCAACAAGATGTGCTGTATGCACTTCAGGTGGGAGTACTTACTACCACAATCACTGATGACAAGAACAACAACAGCAATCGCAATGTTAACCGCCCCATCTTGCCAGCGTCGTTATGTCATGTGCATCCTTAACTAGCTTTGTATGTACGAGTATGTATGTATGCAGTTGCTTGTCTCGCCACACAATTCGCTTTGCTCGTTGTCGTCGTCAACTTTGTCGACTTGGCGTTGCCATTAACTATGTTTTGATAATGTCAACCGAAATTGCACGTTTCGTATGTCACTTTTGGCCACTTTAAAGTGTTTGCACTTGAATAGCTGTCGCTTTTGCAGCTGTTGCTCGCCGGGGTTTTGCTACAAAAAAGAATCTCTGCATGTATGTGTGTATACATTTGTATGTCCAATATTAAAACTTATCAGACAAAATTAAGCTATTTGTTTGTATTGATTGAGTTAGTAATAAAAATTAAAGTTATACTAAAGGTTTTCCTATTTCTTTTCTTTCAGAGCAATTTCATATTTTCGTTGGAGATTTAAGTGCAGAAATCGAGACACAACAACTAAAAGATGCTTTCACACCATTTGGAGAAATATCGTAAGTTCAAAAGATAATAACTATATCAGTTAAATGAGCAACACTTCTTTGCGATGAAACTTGGTTTGCAGCATTATTTTTATTAAATAAAGGGCTAAAGTTAAATTAAACGTTTATTAGGTACTTTCTATATCAATTTATGGCACTTCCTGGATAGAAATGGGAAATCGAAAAATATTATTTGATTTAAATAAAAGGCGCCTATACACACCAAAATTGGTACTAGGGTGAACCCCTCTTTATATTCCACATTTAAAGAACAAAAGCCTCCAAGGCGCTGCAATTTTGACTATCTAACGACTGGCTGGGCTGGGTATACGATTCCTTAAATAAAGAAATCTTCGAAGGCAGAACTTTCTAAATGAAGGTACCAGTTTGCTAAGATTGGGCAAACGGACTCCCTAACCTGGAAACCAGATTTGTACACTGGTACACAGAGACAAAGGAGAGGTGCAAGTATCTAAGGAACCATGAAAAAACTTGTATGTACATAAGTCCAATGCGTAAATGAACCACGGTGTTCCAGACTGAAGTAATAGCAATCTTAACCCTAGAACACACACCCGGGTACAAATGTATCCACTTTCAACTTTGAAGTGTTGTAACTTTTGAACCGCTATACCTCTATACCGCTAACTTCGGATAAGATTATTTAGTTTTGAGTTCAAATTCAAAATTTGAACCAGATCGGACCATTGGTTCAGGAGCTACAGCCTTCCAAACACATTATATACGTAAACACACACCCGGGATACGTTTGTACCCCAATAGTAAAAATCCTCATAATAATAAAAAAAAAAACATTTTTTATATTATTTTTTTATTTGAAAAATTAAAAATATTCATTTCACACATTATATTATTGACTTTTATTATAAAAATTATAAAAATGCATCTTATATCTAAGGAAAATCATGGCAAATAGAGCAATTTGTTGATGTGACCGAATGTTCAAGACACATTGGCTTCTTACATTTGTCGCACAGCTTTCTGGTTTTTCTACGGCGTTTTTCCTCTTGTGCGTAACATAAATAGCAAGATCCGGACACAGGTTTTGGCGTGCGCGCTGCGGCAGATGTTGATGCTGCTGTTGACACCATTGATTCCACCGGTCGGTTGAAATATGCTTCAATAGCAATTTTAGTCGAAAAATTTCGCGTCACTTGACGATTTATGGCTCTGGCTTCAATAATGGGCATACACAATGCTTCAGCCAAGCTGCGCAGGATCTGCTTACGCTTGTTGTTTGTTCTCCAAGGCAACATAGGGTTATTCAAATCGTAGACAATGTAGGCTGCAAGAGCTGTAATGTCCAACATGTTGAAGAACATCGCTAGTGGCCATCGTTTTGTTTGTCTTTGTGTTGGATATTCCGCAAACATTTGGTCCATTCGATCAACACCACCTTTGGTACGATTATAATATTCAATTATTTCAGGTTTCCCACTGTCAGCTATTTCAGCATCATTATGCATGGTCGAAAGCAAAATTACTGCTTTATTTTTTTTGGGAACATAAGAGCACATTGTCACATTATTTTTGAAGCCAAATGTCGTTGAACCAATTGTCCTGTTTTTGTTCTGCTTCATTTCTTGAGGAATATATGATTTGTTTTTGCGCAAAGTTCCAACGATCGTGAGTTTCCAGGTGAGAAGCAGTTCTGCAACTGGCAAGGTCGTAAACAAATTGTCCATTGTAATGTTTCGGCCACTTCCTTGGTATTTGGCAGACAAATCCTTCACCACTCGTTCGCCTTGGTTCGTTTCCCTACCAGTTTCTGCTTGGCCAGTATATATTTGTCCATGCAGTGGATATGCATTTGTGGCATCGCAAATCCACCAAACCTTGATACCATATTTAGCAGGTTTTGACGGTATGTACTGCGTAAACCGTGTGCGTCCACGGTAAGGAAATAATTGTTCATCAATCGTCAAGCATGAGCTGGGCTTGTAATGTGCAGCAAGATTATTGTTCATCATCGTCCACAACTCACTGATCGGTGCTGCTTTATCAGTTAGTAAGCGTGTTGCACGAGTGTTTTTATCGTCAAATCTTAGGAACCGCAATATCGAACAGAAACGGTTGACTCCCATTGTGGCGCGATATAAAGGATAGTTTTTGACGCTCCATAAATCTCGAACATGTTCTCCATTGCTATGGTTCGCACCAGTCATAATAAGTATGCCAAAAAATGCATACAGCTCTGTTATTGACACAGGCGTCCATGACTTAGGAGTTGTGTTTGGATGCGCATTGTTGTAAGCATTATAAGTTTCTTTTGCTAACTTATTTGTGTGGCGCATAATTATATCAGCCATTTCAACGTTCATGAAACATTTGAATGTTTGCTCTATTGACAACATTTCAGTGCATCTAGCTGGTCCAGAACGTTCTCTTATAATATTTTGTCTGAGTACCTGACGACTTACATTTGGTTCTTTCATCCACTCAGTACCATCACGTGCAACAAATTTTTCGGCACTAGCAGGTAATTCATTATTTTCTTCTACTTCTTCTTCTTCATCGTCTTCTTCATCATCCTCATAGTCCGCATAATCAGGTAATACTTCTGCGGCACTTTGCGAAACTTCAGCATCGTCATCAGCAATTTCAATGTCATTGATTTGAATTTCTTCTTCATCTTCTGAGTCAAAGTCATAGGGAGCGTCATCGTCACAAATTTCATCAAATAAAGATTGTATATATGATTCTCGCTGTTCCTCAGTTAGCCTGCATAATAAAAAAAATTAGTATATGTTTACATTGTTGCTTATTTTACATTTTTTACCTTCTATATGCTGCACTTGATAAATATTCGTTTCTTCTTGAAGTCATTTCGTATCCAGTTATTTATAGTTTCAGTTATATTTATTTTCACTTATATTTTCACTTCTTACACTTTTGAGCACCAAAACAATAATGAAAATATCAACAGGCAGCATTTATAACAACACCTCGTGTGAAAACAACCCTTGCAGCTGCATATAAAATACAAAAACCAGTTATACCAGTGTATTTGCTACCTACGTACCCATACCTTGCGCGACCTTTTTGCACATATCTTTTGAACCAGGTAGAATATTTCAATGAAATAAAAACCAAAATGTGTATTCGTTGTTACTCTACAAGTATATTATTATAAATTATATTATTTTGTTTTGCATTTATCAGGACAACAACAAAAACAAAAATCCACTGTTGCATGTCCTGACTTTATTTGCCCATATCGCTGGAACCAGTAGGAATATTCGAATGAAACAAAAGACAAAATACTTGTTATATATTAAAATATACATTTCAAAAAAAAAATCATAGAAATCGGTTGAATAAGCATTAAAAAAACCGCAAAATAAGGTCCCGGGTACAAACGTATCCCGGGTGTGTGTTTACGTGGTATTTTCTGGGTGTGTGTTCTAGGGTTAAGCTGGCTAACGAGCTCAGCATTCAAGAATTTTTCTTTTATGAAAAACGAGCGCAACATTAAAAAGATCAAGGAAGCTCCTTATGCTGTGCAGAGGAGAAATCGTCTTTCCTGTCGATCTGTAGAGTGGTCATATCGCCCTAGCAAAGCTTTGTGGGAGACTTATGGTGTCGCTCAATGATTTCCGAAGACACAGAGACGAGGAGGAGCCTGAATCTGTAAGCCACTTAATTTGCGACCTGAGCAATTTGTCTGCCATAAAGGTAAGGTAATTGCTCAAATTTGTTACTGCCTCTTTAGGACTGAAACCATATTTCGTTCACAGTTGATCATCTTCGAGAACCATAATAGCTGATTGGGTATGCTCTGAACCTTTTATGTTTCAAAAAGCTTAAATCTTACCTTATTGTACTCCTTTCTATAGGGCTTTTATTTATTGCTATTTTATTGTGTACAAAGGAAACATTTTTACGTCTTCTTATTAAAAATTAATTTAAACACTATAATTCACCAAAGAAAATAATACGTATGGGGTATGTCGGCACACCAATGCCGGGTTAAAAGATAGATTTAGATGTCAGTTTATATATCTGAGATACGTTTCCGTTGCAAAAACGGTAAATGATTATTGTTGTTGTTATAGAAAGAATAGAGTCACATTTTTTGCTTAAAATACATACATTTCCGCTGAAAAATTCGTCCCGAAACAATAATTAGTGCATTTTTAGGTGGAATGCTCGTCTATGTATATTTAAAAATAATGTACTGTAAATAAAAAATTCTCATCGCTTGTTTGAAGGGACATNGTGGAATGCTCGTCTATGTATATTTAAAAATAATGTACTGTAAATAAAAAATTTTCATCGCTTTTTTGAAGGGACATTTTTCTGGGAGGATTGTAAAATACAAGGTAATTTATTTTCAAAATTCTAAAATTTTTCGCCAAAATTCAGCCATGTGCCTACTAGTTAGTATAATCCCCAAGCTTTTCGAATTATTTTAGATATTTCCCATGTAAATATTTGCATGCCACTCCATCAAATTTCGAACTCAACGAAAATAAATAAACATACTGCAAAGTATGATTTGCTAACACAAATAAAGAAAACAAGCATGCTGCTGAATAACTTTTAATTATGTGCTCTAATTAACAGCAGCAACAGCAAATAGGGAAAAAATATAACACACAAAATATACATTCACAAAAACATAAAAAAAAAACAAAAAAACGATGGATAAACGAGCAGCATAACAGTCGTAAAAAGGCGAGGCACGGCCAAGTAGCAGCTGCATTAGTTGCCATCAAAGAGCATTTTGCGCCATTTGCTAAGCACAAATGGAATACTACACAAAATTGAAGAGTGGAATGAGAAGGCCCTCTCGTGCTACGCAGCTGGTGGTGGGTTTTTGGCAAATGAAAACAGTGCTGCCAGTCAGTAAAAGGCAAATTTCGCACAAACACAAATGCATTACTTTTTAGCTGTACGGGATTTTCTGAAACTTAAGCAGTTATTTTTTATTTTGATTCTGTGTTGCTTCTACTTTCCCTGTTTGTATGCTTAATTTATGAATAATTGAT